AAGGGAAGGGGGACTACACATACAGGAGAAAGTAAAGAACACACTACTATCTAAAAACCCAAGAGATCCTCCAACTAGCTTTAATACATCAAGTCTTTTCATCATTGCTCTTTTTATAAACTGAGTCAAACATTTAAAACCTTTTACCCTCGACATTTGTATTTAACTGCCCAATAAGAGTACCCCCAACCATCCCCAAGAACCAAAGTTCTCAAAGGCACCATTCAGAGTCCTTCAGCCTTTACTACTTCTTCCCCCTTCTCTTCTGCAGCTTATAGGGACTCTTCGGGGCTGCTGCCCCCTGCTCAGACAAAGAGTCCTCGCCCGAAGGACCAGTTTCCAGCTCACCGCTGGACCTGCCGTCCTCTTCTCTTCCCCTGTCCTCCGGCCTTCCCAGCTGTTGCTTTAGAAATTCTTGAGCTTTCAGTACAGAGTCAATCTTTTCCTTCTTCCCTTTAATCTTGAATGTTACTCTTTCTGGAAATAGCCATTTATATCCAATTGAGTTTGTTTGGAGAAAGCACAAGTTCTTTGTATTTCTTTCTGTGTTGTCTTACTTCAAATGGAATATCCTTTAGCGTTCTGACAGCATTCTCCCCTGCCTTCAGGGGTGTTGCCACTACTGCTTTCAGGATAGCATCCCTGACGTGCCTCTTCGAGAATCTTACTACAATTTCCCCAGGCAGATTATTTTTCTTTATATATCCTGAATATGACCTGTAGGCCACATCCATGTCATTGAGTAACAATTCCGCTTTTATTTCTGTTACTGGGGCAAGTAGCTCGCTCATAAGTCCTTTAAGATTCTCTCCTCTGTTCTCTGGCACCCCCTGGAAGCTCAGGACCATATTGGCCTTATCCATTTGTACTTGGAACATTTGATCTTCCAAAGAAGTAGTTTTCTTTTCCAAATTTTGCACTTTCTTCTTCACTTTCTGTGTTGATTCAGCCACCTCCTTCACTTTCTCAGGATCCTGCTTCATTACTTGGATCAGATCTGTTATTTGGGTTTGTTGTGCAGTTATACTCTGTGTGACCACCGACATCTGCTCTTTGAAGTTATTCAGCTGTTCCAGCAGAGGGCAAATGAACTCCGCTACAGCCTTTGCTGTCTCGCTGGTCGTTTCCGGCTTTGGGGACTCCAGTTTCATTTTCAACAGTCTTTCTTTGTCTTTGTCCCTCTTCCCCACCATCTTTTTCCTTTTTGTTTACTTTTGGAAAGTTTCTGAAGTCTCTGAATGTGCACTTAACTGCTTAGCTCGCTTGGGTAAGTACTTCTGGGCAATTCCAATCGCGTTTTTATTCTGCTCCCCCCCTTTCACTCACAGTTTATACACGTGGGAAGTGTCCCCCCCGCTCGCCTTTCTCGTTCTGCTGAATAGGGTAGGGAGCACCTTTTCTTTCAAAATTCATTTCATAATTGACTCACCTTCATAATTGGCCTTCCGACCATACTTCTTTCATCATTTTTTTTGTTTAACTCTCCTGAAAAGGAGAGATTTTTTTGCTTTTAATATAAGAAAGAGGATGGGTATATAGTGGGAATAATAAAAGAGCTAGTGGTGTTAATATTAGTACATTAATTTTTTGTTAGTAATAATCCAATCTTCTTTGGCTTCTCCAGTGAGATGATCGATCGTCTTTCATCAAATCCTGTAGAGAATAAAAGTGTTAATACATTAGTAGTGTCCCTTTGGTTTATTGTTAATAAAGTCTTTTCTTGCGCTCCATGAACCAGTCCTCATTTTCTGGGCATTCTTCCTTTCACATCTCTCGAGTTATAAGATGGACCTGCTCCTGCTCCTTCTTCTTCTGGCTCTTTGACCTCCCCCTCCGAGTCGCTGTCCTCTTCGCTTCCAACCGTCTCCCGTTTAGCAAGTGCTGCTTCCTCTGAACTGGCGTGTCTCTTCATGAAATCTTGAGCTTTGAAGATAGAGTCAATCTTCTCTCTTTTATCTTTAAACTTGAAGATAAGTCCTTCTGGATTCAACCATCTGTAGCTAATTTGTTGGTTTTGCAAGAATAAGGTCAGTCCTTTATATGCCTTCCGCTTCATCCGGATTTCAAATGGCACATCTTTCAAAATTCTGACTGTCTGTTCTCCGATCTTCAAAGGCTTTGATGAAGATGCTCTCAAGATTTGATCTCTGATTTTCTGCTTGGTAAATTTGACCACCAGTTCTGCCAGCAGGTTATTCAACTTTGTAAAATTGGAGTAGGGTCTGTAGATCAGATCCATCTCTTCGCTTATTTTATCCGCTTCCAAGCCGGTCAGTGGCGCCAAAGCCTCCGCTAGAATACTCATGAGATCCTCTTTTTCAATTTCTTTTATTCCTTGAAATCGGAGAGTCAAGTTTGATTTTTCCATCTGAAGCATCAAAATCTTTTTATCTTGCATTTCTTGGTGTTTTTCCAATTTATTGACCTTTTTGACTTTTTGGGTATCTTCCTTCAAGACCAGACACTTCTGCGCAATTTCCTCCGTCTTCTTAGCTGTATCATTCAATTGCTTCTGCTGGTTATTGAGCACACTTTCCATGTTTAACAACATTTGGTTTATTTTTTGCATTTGCTCCAGCAGAGGGCGCAGTGTCTTGCTGTCCTGTTGATTGACAGCCTGCTCAGAGAGGCGGGGGCAAGAACCGGAAGTTCCTCCTGGCTTCTTCATCAGCTTCTCCTGAACCTTTTTCTGCCCCGACATCTTTGTATTATTGTTTACTTTTAAAAAGTTCGTGCTGCGCAGCTCCAAGATAATTTCTCCTGCCTCTCTTTCAACAATTCACCAAAAGGTAACACCACTCTTCCAGTTTCTCACTCCCCCCTTTTCTAGCTGTTAATACAGTCTCAGTTCATGGGGGGGATCTCCCCCTCCTCCCTCCCACTTTTTCGATGGGGGGGAATGCACTTGTCTCTCTTTTCGCCCGTTTCGATCGTCAACTCACGTTTTCTGCCGATCACTTTCCTTTTTAATCGCTCTTTCGCTTCACCACTCTGTGATGTTCGGCGACATTGCTAGTCCCCTCGTGGAGGCAAAGCAGCAGCAGGGCCATTGGGGCATGGGGCGAGCCTCAATTTCCGACCTTCAGGCCGGGAAAGAGGCACATCCCCTGTGCGCCCCGGGTTGGAGCCCCTACCTGGAGCTAGTCAGGGTCTCCACTTGTGCGGATCCCCCCCTTCACCGTGCGTGGGTGAATCGCCTTTGGGAGCCTTCCGAAGATGCAACCGCCATTCGCAATGGCCAAACCGAAAACTCTTCTTTCATCATTTTTAACGCCCTATCTCCTGCGCTTGACCCGGTTAGCTTCACTTGTACCATTCCATCTCTTGGCTGGAAGAACCACTGGATCAAAGGGGTGCCTTGATTCTCTGGCATTCTGCCATTGAAGAAGCTACCCCCTCAAAGCTCCTTGGTCAGGGCCCCTTCACCGGGTCCCTGGGGGAGGGTTACGAACCTGTTCACCCCCTCCTTCTGCCATAGCACGGAGACACCCCTGGGAGGTCTGGGGGGTGAGTCCACAAGCGTGCCGCCATCAACCGGAAGTCTACTTAGCTCAGATTTTGTCTATAGTCACCTACTGGCCTCTAAAGCAGAAAATAGAATTTTTGAGGCTTCCGGTCGGGCTAAGATGGCAAATTGACGCATCTCACGATCGTGTGAGGTGGACGGCAGCTTCTTCTGACAGTTTGGGCACTAATTTGCCCAACGCAGCACTACCCAGGTAGGGGAGTTGACTAGCAGAGCATCAAGATCCGAGCGGAGGTTGAGATTGGCGTGAGATCAGCTTCAGAGGAAGCTGGTGCCGTGCTTTGATCCCCCCCCCACGAAGAGGACTTTTGCGATTCATCACTTCAGAAGCTGACCGAGCTGGAATTCCAGCATAAATCCGCCATTTCCCGATTTCTTTACATTGAAGAACAAAGGGGTACTAAAGAAGCAATGCGATAACCCGAAGATAAGCGCGTAAGGTAACAAAGACTTTTTGCTTATCGCATGAGAGGTTCGGCGAAAATTGAAACAAGCGGTTGAGCGTCTTAGAATTTAGATGAAACAACTAACTTTATTACGTTCCAGAGAGAGCAGCGCAAAGTGCTAAAATAATGTAAAAAGTGACTTTGTTTAACATTCCTGTGGCTAGCTAAGTTAAACAGTTGACCGAAGAACCGAAACTGACAAGAAAAACTGCGAGACTACGTCATTGTTTTTCCTTCTAACCGGAACTGTGTTGCGGAAGACAAGCGAGGTGCTAGAGTGGGCTTGGAGGTCAAGTAAAGACCGGAAGTGGATCGGCACGTTAAAGGTGAACACCGGAAGTTCGAAGGATTGGTTTCCAGGTTGCAACAGGAAGTATATAAGAAAACCGCTCTAGCCAGAAAAACCATAGAAAAGTTGCGCCCGCCATTTTGGGGAGGACTGAAAATAAAATTTAAAATTAAGCCTTAATTCGGAAGATAAGAAGAGCGGAGATGGAACGGATCAATTAAGCGTTTCCCAAACTATCATAGAGGTGAGAAGAAGAGTTGGAAAGAAATTTTTAAAGCTTCAAAATGGAGCCAAAGTCAAGACTAAGATCAGCCTCACTATCAAGTCCTAGGATGGCAGGTAAAGACAAAAAAGAGTGGCAGGCTGCAATTGAGGGAATGGTGAAGAAAATGACTGATTTAATTCAAGGTTTGGGAAAGCAACTCGAGAAGCAAATGGACTTACAAATGGCAAAACATATGGAAAAGCAATTAGAACAGCTGGAATAAGTACAGGAAAAAAATGTAGCAGCAATCAAGGAATTGGTAGTAGCAGAGTTGGCAGAAATAAAAAAGGATGTGACAGAGGATAAGAAGGGAGTGCAAGGTCTAACTACTAAAACGTCGGAAATGGAGCAGAAAGCACAAGACTTGGAGAAAAAAGTTGACGTTTCAAAGCAAGAAAAGAAAAGGTTGGAGTCAGTGATGGATTATAGATTTATGCAGTACCATCTGAGATTAAGAGGAATAGAACAAAAAGAAGATGAAAATATACATGAAGTGGTGATTGCCTCGCTAACGGAATACTTGGAGTTAGAAGAAGGTGAGATTTATTCGAGATTTGACTATATATACCGAGTGAATTCATTATATGCAGAGAAAAAGAAATTACCAAAGGATGTGATTGTACAATTGACGACGCAAAAGTTGAAAGATGAAATTTTTAAGAAGCAATTTAATCAGGCTTTGATGATTGATGGGAAGAAGATAATAATAATGAGAGAACTCCCAAGAGCGATCTTACTGGAGAGGAAGAAGTACAAAAAGTTAGTGGACAAACTCAAAGAATTAAATATCAGATTCAGATGGGAAATTCCACAAGGGCTGACCTTTACCTACCAAGCTTTGAGATACACAATTAGAAATATGAATGAATGTTACAGATTTAAGGCGGACAATATAACTGATTTTGGTGACATTTAAGACAAGACACTATGGATTACAAATTTTTATCGTGGAATGTGAATGGGCTAAATTCACCCAATAAGAGAAAATTGGTGAGACATTGGTTGGAAAAGCAAAAATGTAACATAATTTGTTTACAAGAAACACATATTAAAAAACAGGACTTTAAATATTTGATAAATAAAAAACTTGGAGAAGAATTTTATTCCTTGGCATCCAAAAAAATCAAAGGAACGGTAATTTATGTAAAGAAAGACTTGGATCCAAAAGAATTTTTTTGTGACAAAGACGGTAGATATATTGGTGTAGAAATAACGATGCATCAGAAAAAGACTTTAATTGTTAATGTTTATGCTCCTAATGGAGCAAAAGAAATTTTTTTTAATGATTTGATGAGTGATTTGGATCAGGTGAGCTACAAGCAAATACTCATGGCGGGAGACTTTAACGGTACTGTAAATAACAAACTGGATTGACAATCTAAAAAAGGAGATGATAAGATCGGAAAATTACCTAAGTTTTTTTTTAAGTTGATGGACCAGGAAAAATTTGAGGATGTTTGGAGAAAACTGAAGGATTTTACTTTTTATTCGAATAGACATAACTCTTTCTCAAGGATTTATATGATTTGGATGTCAGGTGAATTGATATTGAAAACTCAAAAGGTTGAGATTTTGCCCAAGATTTATTCAGATCATAGTCCATTACTTTGGATGTCTAAAGAAAGATTAATACAAAGATGTTGGAGATTAAATGAAGATTTATTGGATAAGAAAATTGTTTTAGAGACTTTAAATAAAGAAACGCATGCATTTTTCCAAATGAATTTAAACAAAGAAACGAAAATTCAGACGGTATGGGATACATATAAAGCAGTGATGAGAGGATTACTTATATCATTGAATGCTGGTGATAAAAAAGAAAGATTAAAGAAACAGAAGGATTTAGTAGAGAAAATACAACAAAAAGAGACAGAGTTAAAGAAGAAACCAGGGAAGAAAAAAATTATCAGAGAAATACAAATCTTGAAAGAACAACTGAATGAGATTGCAAACCGTGAAATGTATTGGAATTTAAAGAAACTGCAAGAAAAGTCATTTGAAGGACCAAATAAACCAGGAAAATTTTTGGCTTGGCAATTAAAAAACTGAAGGGAGAAGAGGTCAATAACTAAAATAATAGATGAGGGCAAATAATTTACGGATATAAATGGTATTAAGCGTGCATTTTTTAAGTATTATGCTAAATTATTCCAAAAAAAGAAGATTGATTTGGAAAAAATAAAGAACTATTTAGATAAAGTGAAGTTACCAGAGATTAAAGAAAAAAATAAAGAATTGTTGAATGCTAAAATTCAAAAGGAAGAGATACATAGAGTGATAGAAGATGCAAAATTGGGGAACGCTCCGGGACCAGACAAATTTACTGCAAAATTCTATAAAAAAATGAAAGAGGAGCTTACCCCGATTTTTGAACTTCTGTTAAATAAAATTAGAGAAACCAAAAAGATTCCGGATACTTGGAAGGAAGCTAATATTTCGCTTATACCGAAAGAAGGTCAAGAATCAACAAATGTTAAGAACTATAGGCCGATCTCTCTTCTTAACAACGATTATAAACTTTTTGCCAAAATAATTTCTGAGAGAGTGAAGAACTATCTGAAGGATGTAATATCCGAGGAACAAGCGGGATTTTTGCCAAATAGACAGATTGGAGACAATGTAAGAATGGTCATTGATGCAATTGAATATTATGATAAACACCCCGAAAAAGAAGTTGGATTTTTGTTTGTGGATGCAGAAAAAGCTTTTGACAATTTAAATTGGGATTTTATGTTTCAAGTGTTTGAAAAAATGGATATTGGACAACCTTTTATGAATGTGATTGAAGCAATATACTCTGATCAGAAGGCAACGTTAAATGTAAATAAGTCTATGACGGAATATTTTAGAGTTAAAAAAGGAACAAGACAAGGATGTCCCTTATCCCCATTGTTGTTCATCTGGATTCTAGAAGTTTTATTGGGGAAAATAAGAGATGATAAAGACATTAAGGGACTTACTTTAAGAGGTTTTTCATACAAATATAGAGCTTTTGCGGACGATGTGATGTTTGTGGTTGAAGAGCCAAGGCGGAATTTACCGATATTATTGGATGCAATAAACAATTTGGAGACCTGGCAGGTTTCTATGTTAACAAAAATAAAACTAAAGTGTTGTGTAAGAATATGATAAAAGAACAACAATTGAAGTTGCAAGAGGAAATACAGTGTGAAGTAGTCAAAAAAACTAAATAGGAATTGACGTGACAATGAAGAATATAGATCTTTTTAAGAACAACTACGAGAAGCTTTGGACTAAGATACAAGAGGATATCAAAAAATGGGACACTTTGAATTTGTCGCTTTTGGGGAGGATATCGGTGGTCAAAATGAATATTTTACCTCGTTTAATGTTTCTGTTTCAGACCATTCCGATAGTTCGAGATCTCAAGGTGTTCAATCAATGGCAAAAAGAAATATCGAAGTTTGTATGGGGAGGGAAGAAACCAAGGATTAAAATGAAGATTTTATGTGATGCAAAAGACAGAGGAGGTTTTCAATTACCGAATTTAAGACTTTATCATGAAGAGGCGTGTCTAACATGGTTAGCGCAATGGATTAATTTAGACAATCAAAAGGCGTTGGCGTTGGAGGGACATGATTGTAAGTTTGGATGGCACGCCTATTTATGGTATGAAAAGGCCAAAATGGATAATTTTTTTAAGCACCACTATATAAGAAGATAACTATTTGAGACGTGGAATAGATATAGAAGATTTTTTTTGGAGCAAAGACCATTGTGGATTGTGCCGGCAGAAGTACTGAAACCAATATCAAGATATAAAGGTGAAGATTGGTTACCATAGGGAGCGGTGGCGCAGGCGGTTAAACGCCTGCCAGTAACATCTATCTATGGACAGCAGCTACAGCTGTTCAAATCCCACCACGGCCAGTGTGAGCAACTGGCCCTTGTCCCAGCTCCCGCCAACCCAGCGGCTCGAAATCGCCGATTAACACCTTTGCGCAAGTAGATGAATGGGTACCTACCTTAGTTGGGTAGGGGGCACCCTCCCCCGTCGAGGGGGCTGCTGGAGTGTCAAAGACTGGCAGAGAGGCGAGGCGGCGAGTAAGCGGCTGGAAGATGGCGTCCTGGTACAGCTCGAATGACGGAAGCAGACGGCGGCGGAGAGGCGGAGTCGGATGACGTGGGGAAAGCGGACGGCACAGGCGCGACGGAGCCGGAAGGACAGAGCTGCAGCCGTGCCAGAGTGCGCCACACGTCGGAGGGGCCTGGCTGACTCTCCGCAGGAGTGACCGTCGAAATGGAGCCAGAAGACAGCCGAGAGACATCGAGCCGAGGAACGCCGACCCGAAGACCGTCCGGTACCTCCACTGGGTGCTGATGGGGACTGTCCCCCACCCTGTGTTCTGTGGCCATAGATTAGGTATGAGAATCAAAAAGTGTAAGCCGCCCAGAGACCCCCTAGCGGGGGTTCGTGCAGGGTAATAAATCGAATGATAAATAAAAATAAATAAATAAATATCGAGATATTTTGAAGATAGAAGGAAAGACTATTGAATTAAAACCAAGAGAGGAGTTAGACTTTAAATATGATTGGTTGAATTATAGACAGATCTATGACCTATTTGTAACTGATAAAAAGAAATATGGTTTTAGGGGAAAAAAATAATGAAATGGAATGTGTTTGGGTAGAAATGGGAAAAAAGATGATTTCTAGAATTTATAAGATTTTGTTAGTATGGTATACGGAGGAAGAAACGGTAAAAGAGCAAATGATAAAGTGGGCTGTAAATATGAATAAAGAAATACGTATGTCAACTTGGGAATATTTATGGAAATATTCAATGGAAATTTCGAATTGTACTAACTTGAAAGAAAATTGCTATAAAATGATGTATAGATGGTATATGACCCCAAAGAAAATTGCTAATATGAATGTAAATATGTCTAATAAGTGTTGGAAGTGTAAGAAACATGAAGGCTCTTTTTACCATATGTGGTGGACATGCGAGAAAGCGGTGACATTTTGGACGGAGGTCCATAATGAAATGCAAAAAATATTGAATTGTCAATTTAAAAAAGAACCAGAAATATTGCTTCTAGGTCTTAAGATGGAAGAGTTAAATGTTGCTAAAAGAACTTTGTTTTGGTATTTGATAACAACTGCTAGAATGACATATGCGCAGTTTTAGAAACAAGATAAAATCCCCGAGGTATGGGATTGGATAAAGAAAGTACTTTTTATGGCCGAAATGGACAAACTGACAACAAAACTGAATGACAAAGATACTATGAGTTGTCAAAATTGAAAATGTAAATATAAGGTTACCGAAGATATTATATGATTAAGGAATATGATAGTTTTAACTATGATGATATAAAAAATGATTGAAAGGTTTAAGCATTGCGGGAAGCCAAGACTGTGGGGGGGGAGGGGAAAAGAAAGGATATATATGAGAATGATTTGTAATACTGAAAATGTTGTTATATCCGGTATAATAAAATTTTGTGTACAAAAAAGAAAAGAAAAGAAAAAGAAAATAGAATTTTTATATTCTGCTAACTGGGAGAAGTGTAATATTTAAAATACAATGTTTTGCTGTTACAGCTGTTAAAGAAGAAGAGAAGAAGAGAATGGATTTATACCCCGCCCTTCACTACCCAAAGGAGTCTCAGAGCGGCTTTCAACCTCCTTTCCCTTCCCCACAACAGACACCCTGTGAGGTTGGTGGGGCTGAGAGAGCTCAGACAGAAACTGCTCTTTGTCAAGAAGAGCTGTGCCAGAACTATGGCTTGCCCAAGGTCATCTAGCAGGTGCAAGCGGAGGAGTGAGGAATCAAACCCGGTTCTCCCAGATTAGAGTCCGCGGACTTAGCCACCACACCAAATTCAATCGGTATTTCTTAAATGCTAATACGGTAGATGGTATCATAAACAGGAATATAAGCGGTTATTTTGAAATATGCCAGTGAATATGCAGGAGGAGCAGCAACCAGAGACGGTTATTGCCCATTTGCCCTCTCTGGGGACTTCTGTGGGCTATTAGTTGGCCACTGCAGGAAACAGGAAGCTGGCTTAGCTAGTTTTAGTATTATCCAGCAGGGCTTTTCTTTCATAAATAAAACAATTACTTGTGTTCTCAGTAAGGCGATGAGAGCGATGTGGAAGAAGAGGAACCTCAAGGTAGTAAAGATACGGATGATAGAGCTAAGGAAAAGGATAGAAGAAGGAGAAGGGCCAATGCACTATCGCTACAAGTTATAACTAGACAGAAAGCAAGACTCTATAGAGAACGTAATAAAAATGGAAAGAAGGAGTGATTTGAACATTTTGTCGGTGAATGTGAATGGTTTGAATAGCCCCCAGAAGAGAAAGAGGATTATTAAACAACTAAGTAAAACTAATTCTGAGATTGTTTGTATACAAGAAACACATATAAGAAAGCAAGATGTTAAATACCTGAATTCAGCAAAACTAGGAAAGGTGTTTTATGCAGCAGACGATAAGAAGAAGAGAGGGGTTGCTATCTATGTTAAAGAAAGGCTAAATCCTGAACCTGTGTATGCCTCACTAGACGGGAGAATAGTCGCTATTTCTGTAACAAGGAACAATAAAAGACTTTTAGTTGTGAATATATATGCTCCTAACCAAAATCAGGAATCATTCTACAAGCGACTTCAAATTATAATGGCTGAGCAGTTCTCCCAGATTAGAGTCCCCGCACTTATCTACAATGCCGAACTGGCTCACAACAAATGAGTCATTTGCTGTGCTCGCCAGGACCTGAAAGATCCAGATTTTCTCTGGCCTCCTCTATAGTCAAGAGCAGAGAAGAAAAGCGCTTTTATTGTGGCTAGCACAATCTCACTCAGAATAGCTTTCCAGCTTTGGGTTAGGCATATAGCTGTTCTCTGCCTCCCCTTC